TTACTATTATTTTTTTTTCGTAAAAAAAATTGAAAATTCGGAATTTTTTTAAAAAAATTTTGGAAATTTTTTTAGTTTTTAGTCAAAAAATATAAATTCCTGATAATATGGCGACATAGGTGGTAGATTAAATTTAAAAGAAAGAAAATCCCGAAAAGATCCAGCGGTTCTCAAAATTTTTTGAAATACTCTAAAAACAAAAAACGTTCATTTTTTAATTCTTCGTCTATTGAAAAAATAATATACAGGATATTCTATTGAAAAAAAGGAAAAAAAATATTTAATATTTTAGAAAAATTGGCATACAATTTTGAACATACTGTATGATTTACCATTACCATATCTATAGCAAAGTAAGTACGCACTATCTAATGTAAATACCTAATATAGTTTTGATTTCAGGACAGTTCTTGTATTTTTAATAATATTTTTTTAGGAAAAGCTGAAAAATATACAGGGTGGTCCGAACTGTATTCCGGAAACTTCGTCAGCATATTCTGCAGATAAAAATAAGTAAAAAAGTTCTAATAAATGTATGTCCAAAAATGCTTAGTTTCAGAGATACAGCGTGTAGAAGTTTCATATTTATTTCGATTTTTTCCAAATATTTTCTGAAGTAATGTCAATATTTGGATGAAAATTGGTGTCTAAGAGTTTTTTGACATGAGAAATTTGATTTTGATGTCAATATGACTCCTACTAGTAAAGGGCGCCACCTACATGTATTTTAATTGTTTTGAAGCTTAATAACTTTTTGTCCGTACCTGTATAAAACTACCGAGAGAAAAAATATACATCTCTATGACTTTTTACGTAAAAAATATATCTTAAAATCGCTACGAGCAACCGTTCTCAAGATATTTAACTCTCATGTCATTATTGACAAAAAATAAACACGTTGAGTAGATAGTTATTTCACTGAAATAATAAATTTGAGAAATTTTTATTTTTTCAAATTAATCATAAATTTTCTGCGAAAAAATGATGATAGAACAATTTCTGTTGAACTTTTGACAAAAAAACTTTCAAATTTATTATCTCAGTCTAATAATTATATAGTCATCAAGTTTAATAAAATTTATGTCAATGATGACAGGTATTGATAATTTCGATTCCAAATATCTCAAAAACCAATGCTTGTAGTGATTTTTACCAAGAGACATTTTTTAGGTAAAAAACGTCGTAAATATATATTTTTTTTACTCAGTAGTTTTATACAGGTACGGACGAAAAGTTATTACTCTTCAAACAAGTTAAAAAATATGTAGGTGGCGCCCTCTACTAGTAGGAGTCATATTGACATCAAAATCAAATTTCTCATGTCAAAAAACTCCCAGATACCAATTTTCATCCAAATATTGACGTTAGTGCAGAAATTATTTGGAAAAAATCGAAATAAAAATGAAACTTCTACACCCTGTACATTATTTTTATCTGCAGAATATGCTGCCGAAGTTTCCGAAATATAGTTCGGACCACCCTGTATATTTATTATTTATTTATTAATATCTGTGAAACTAACGAACTATATTTTTACTCATATTTAGTGATCTGAACGGAAGCCAAAAATGCAATAATATACAGGGTGTCCCATTTAAAAAATAATAATCCCGATCTATTCACACTTTTTTGAACGTGTAATATTTAATTTTACCAATAAAATTAAGCATTTAATACTGCCAAAAAAATAGTAGTAACTAATGAAATGCAGTACATTTTATAACGTATGCAGTACAAATCTTACTACTGCTCACAAACTAAAAGAGTACCTAAACTTGAACACTTATTCTTCTTCAACTGCCTTTAATTTACCCTCTAAAGTAAAGTCTGCCCGTCTGCCTATTAACGACAACGACAGAAAATACAATTTACCTGTGAATTACAACTCTCACTGTCGGTTCAGGTTGGGTTGGTTTGATTTTTTTTAACTTTACATAAATAAATGTATAATTTATTTTTCGACGAAGTTCGGATTTTGTCTGGATTTCGGAGAGCTTACTTGTCTGGAATTTCCAAAAACTTGTGTGGAAACTCTATTCAAAGGTAATATTATTGTTTATTAATTAATAGACATAAATATTCAGAAAACTCACATTATATAATAAGATCATAAAATTCACAGTTACCCTACCAACATTATACTAATTTACCATTACAGTACGAACGAAAAAAAAACGACGTCCGGTTGGCTTAGAAATTACGATCGATATAATTTTACATTATATAAAATGACAGCGATCTTCATTTCCACGCCATACCTCCGTTTTTTTTCGTAATATGATATCGTATGATCGAAAAAAAAACGTCGTCCAGTTGGCTTGGAAATGAGCGTCGATTACATTCCCCATATAATTTTACATATAAAATGACAGCGATCTTCATTTCATAGCCGTCGCTAACGCAGTTTTTTTCGATCATACGGTATTATTTGATATGAGATATAACATTTTTAAACTTAATAATTGTAAAAAACTCATAGTTTCTGAATTCTAACATTATTGATCGTAATTACACCCATTAATAATCAGATCGTGTGCCTGCATAATTATTGTCTTTAAATTTCAAATTGTTATGCATAAAATAAAATTCATATTTTTTCAATTTTAGTTGTAAGTTCAAATATATTATTAAATGGTGTATTCAATAGGTATTTACTAGAAATCAACAAATCAATTATCTTGGATATATCATTGAAAACAACAAAACATTAATGTTTTGCTAGAGGGTCTTATTACATTTAAGCATTTGTTATTTCATTTTATAGAGACATCATCTCAGTATAGAAGAACAAATTCTTTGTACAAACAAATTGAATTATTAAGCGGAAACCAACTTAAAGCGGAACTCAAGAATCTGGAAGACTCCATCCGTAACATGGAATGGGAATCCTCCAACGAACGGTCTATGACACTCGAAAAAGTTCCTCAGAACTTACGACCGAGAAAAATCAAAGAGTTTCCTTGATTTAAGTAAAAGCAATCTTCGGATTGTCTTCGGGTTTCTAACAGAACCCTGTCTCCTCAACGAACACCTCAGTAGATTGAAACCGAGAAACAACGGCGAATGCAGATTCTGTGGGGAAAATGGGGAAACACCAGAACACCTTATCACTGATTGCAGCGAGACGACAAACGTTCGTGCCATAAACTTTGGTACGGCTGATGTCGAAGATGGAGAGCTGGCCTCTGTGGAGCCGTCTCAGATACTGGCGAATCAAAGCCCTGAGATTGTATGATGAATTATAACTCGTTATAACTCAAGAAAGGGGAACGAACTAGATCTGTAAGGTCGCGGTAACAATAGCTTAAACTTGAGTTCAAGTGAACTCTGAAAAACGCTGAACATGGCAATTCTATTTAGGTATATTTTTTTTGTAGTATTGATTAAAAGTCTAGTTTAAGGCTCGAAAATAACTGGCTCAATTGCATTATTTGTCAAATATATAATTTTTCAACTAATTTCAACGATACGAAGTCATTGAACAACCTATTAAAATTATAAACTTGGTTTAAACCTGAATCGAGTATGAACAACTGGGCCTTGTATCTTCAAAGACTGAAAAGACTGAATAGTTAAAATTGCTTAAAACCATTTCTTTCTCAAATGTCCGAAATAGCAACAACCAACACCAAATTTATAAAAGTAAAAAAATTACACTTTTTTAGAGACAAACCACGTTTTGTGACACTAAAAAGTATCTCGTAGTGCCTGCATTTTCGCAATGAACAATGAATGGAAAAATATGTATGTGACTTTTATAAATTCTCTTAATACGTTCCAGTAAGTATAAGTAGATATTAATATAGAACACAAATCATATATTTATATTTTAATTTTACGTTAATTACGTTTATTTATTTTAAATAACCAAAATTGAACATTCTGTCTGTTTTTGATATTACATGTCGCTAAATCAACCCAATTAATCAGTCCGAATTGGTAGAATTAGAAATTTTAAAAACTGACTTCCTAACATACCTCTACAACCAATGACTAAAGAATATAAGGACATGTAACGCCCCTATCGGGCTGCAGGAGAATTTGTGACTTTTTTTTTGTTTTGGTGGCAAACAATGAGTCATCATTTGGTCACCAGCGACAATTTTAGCGATTTTTAATAGTTTGTGTGTAGTAAACTTTGTATAAACTTTAGTACAAACATCTACCATCTACCACCAACGCCAACTTTATAAAAGGCCTGACAACTAACGCGTCATCAAGTGAGGTCGATAGACGGAACCATGACGGAACTATTTATAGCGCACACTACGATATAAACTTTGATTGCAGCCAAAATTTTATGATTAGTTAGTATCATTTCCTAGAATACACATCGATATTAAATTAAGTTACGCAGTTAATGTAACTAATATTTTCTTCAACTTTTTCGAAGTCGTTTTTCTGAAATCACAGTTTTTTTGACACAAATCACTACTGGTTTTGTGAAATTGAAAAGAACCTCGTCGTACCTACATTTTTACAATGTATGATAAAATATATATAACTTTTGTAAATTCTCTTAACATGTTCCAATTACTCGTAGTATAAGTAGAATGTTATTAATATTGAACACAAATCATATCTTTATATTTTAATTTTATCTAAAAATAATAATAATTAATGATGCTGCTTTTATCTACATATTTGCTTAAAATAAATTAAAAGATTTTCTTCAAGATCTCCATGGAAATAGCTAAAAATTAACATTCTGTCTGTTTTTAACACATCCCGATTTATCAGCCCGAATTGCGGTTAGAAATATGAATTTTAAAAATTGAATTCCTAATATAGCTTCCTAACATAGTAACAAACAATTCGTGTGTTGGAATACTAAAATGTGTATTAAGAGTAGAGGGTGAACACCCGCTTTACTGAATTCTATCATTAATTCTATTTAAAACACCCAAATCGTTTGTCTGTATATAAGTGTATTTCCCAATGTTTTTTAATAAAACAATACATATGATTCAATTCTACTTAATAATAAAAAATAAACTTACTTGTGTGTATTTCTTTTCAAGATGTAAACTAAACGATTATCTTCCAAGTCCCGGTGAAAATATCTAAAAATGAATATTCTCTCGCGTTTGTTATTACATTTTATCGAGGCATCATCCCAATTTAAAAGCGCGAATTGTTAGCACCAACAAATTGAATTGTTAGAAGCGCACAAACAATTTCACGTGTCTTGTAAGACCGAAACGTGTAGCGCGCGTATGTACACTCGATTTCGACTGATTGTAAAATGCAGCGGCAATAAATTGCGGCTAAAAGAAGGGTTACTGAGGCCAGCAGGAACTTTCGACAGCCATCACTGCGATGTATATTGCGTGGCGGCGAAGAACGTTACAATAATCGTGCCCGATAATAACAACTAACAACACGAGGAACGCTCCACGGCTACGGTTTAAGGGAATTACCACGGAGGTAAAAAACAGCGCTTTTAAATGAATCAGCACTCTTGATTCTGCAGGCGCTTGTTCGTTTAACAGCTTTTTTATTTTACTAAAAAGAAAAAGTCGAAAAACTAATGAAATGTACAAGGGCTATTCAGAAAGAACACACTGCTAAAATTGACACTTTTTTTCAATAATAAGGGGCTGTCCTGTGCCAGAAACACTGCGACCTGTGAAACCTATTGTATTTCTCTCCTTTCTATTGTGTCGCTTGCTTCTCTAGTCACTCTAGTGTCGCTTGCGATCCAGAGCCTCACAGTGACATATAATGTTCTCCGCTGTTCCAGGATCTTTATCGCAGAGTCTGCAGCAAAGACTTCCTTGATAATGATCGCACTAGCAGCTGCTATTAAAAATACTTCGGTATCGTCCATGTCCGAACAGCACGAACGCAAGCACTACATTACAATGTGGACGCCGGCGCCGCGCCGTTGCTTGCGAGCTGAAAGATCTTGAGAAACACGACAAATAGGAACCGCAAGCAACACAATCACAATCAGAAGCAGGAGCGCGAGCAGGGTCACGAGCAATATGGACGCACCTTAAGGATTGAAACATTGAAATATCGAGAATAGAAACATATTGGCGGTCATTATACAGTTAGTTGCCGTCTGTACTCCTATTTTCTTCTTATATGTACTGTACGTCTGTCCGTTCTGTAGCTACGGGGAATCCGTGAGAGGGGAAACGATATTCTCTCGATGTTTTTCGTAAAAAATAGACAACGCGTCCCATCAATAAAAATTCAACAAATTTGCAAGTAGCCAATAAAATGAGTGGGCGGAGCGATTTGCGGTGACGCACTCGTCAAATCGACGTATAAAATATATTGCTGTTTATTTAAATGTTTTTTGTCCGCATTCCTTTCATAGACACAGATCCAGCAGATGTACTGTATAATATATAATAAATAAAATTTAATATATTTCGTATGGCAGCAAGGGATACTACTGACAATATAAACAATAATAAAATATATATACAACCACATACACCCGTGTTGTCAAACATGACGGCCAAACAGATAGAACAAAGCAACGTAAAAATAAAAAAATATATGTACCGGTACTGTAATGTGTCCCACTAAGAATAGCTCTCGGCTGTATCTCGGAAAGTATTAGTCGTAGGGCTTACGGAAAAAATATTTATAACTAAAGGGGCTTTGAGAAATTTCTGGAAATTATTTTCAAGTTTGTAAAACGGCCGCTAGGTGGCGCAACTGCTATGTAAAATAAGAAAATAGATTTTTTACAGAATTTTGCCTAGATAATGGGTACTCTAAATAATAGCTTCATAATCTTGATAATCTTTAGTAAATTTTGGATTTTTTTTGTTAGAACCATTTTCCCCTATCTGTCAAAAAAAGTGGTGGGGGAAGGTTCGATCTGTTTTTATAATATTAATAACTTCGGACTGGATAAACGGAATCCAACAAGCGGCTCGTTTAAAAGAGCGTTTCTTACTCTATGTTATACCGTATAGACGATAATAATAAGCTTTTGAATGTAGACGCTAGGGGGCGCGGACTTGCAATTTAACAAACATAGCGCGTTTTTCCAAAAAAATTAAATACGATAGCATGTGTTAGTTTAGCTGAGAGTAAAGAGTAGTAAAAGCTTAAAAAGTCAGCGGAAACCGCATCTTGATATCTTTCAAACCGAAGATATTAGCAAAATTATAATAAATACCAAAAAATTACCTTATTTTTACAATACAGTATCAGTAGCCCTCTTGATTAGGCCCATTCTAACAAAATTAAGATAGAAACAGTTAGTTTATTGTAAAATCGACGAAATACAAGAATACCATAAACCATAATACCAGATGTATTAATATCTAATAATTAAGATATTAATAATAGTGAACAAGAAACGATGATTCAGTGAAGTCATGGTAGGCTTTGGAAAGAAGTTGCTTTTCGCGTAATAGTATAAACGTCAAATTGTTAGTAGATCAAGATTTTGATAGTCTCAGCAGCGTTTTTTTTATCTTTTAAATTCTTTTTCAAAATGCCTTTATTATTTGAAGCAGTTGAAGTTGTTTGCATTTTGACAAAGCAATCAAAAGATAAAAAACGCTGCTAAGACTATTAAAATGTTGATCTAATAACAATTTGACGTTTATACTATTACGTCAAAAGCAACTTTTTTCCAAAGCCTACCATGACTTCACTGAATCATCGTTTCTGGTTCACTATTATTAATATCTTAATTATTAGATATTAATACATCTGGTATTATGATATTCTGGTATATCGTCAATTTTAGAATAAACTAACTGTTTCTATCTTATTTTTAGGTTAGAATGGGCCTAATCAAGAGGGCTACTGATACCGTGTTGTAAAAATAAGGTAATTAAGGGCTTATTTTTTGGTATTTAATATAATTTTGCTAATATCTTCGGTTTGAAAGAAGATATCAAGATGCGGTTTTCGCTGACTTTTTAAGCTTTTACTACTCTTTACTATCAGTTAAAATTACATACACTATTGCATTTAATTTTTTTGAAAAAACGCGCCATGTTTGTTAAATTGTAAAACAATTAACGCCCCCTAGCGTCTACGTTCAAAAGCTTATTATTATTGTTTATATGGTACAATATCGAGTAAGAAACGCTCTTCTAAACGAGTCCTCGCTTGTTGGATTCCGATCATCCAGTCCAGAGTTATTATATTCAAATAAAAACATATCTAACCTTCCCCCACCACTTTATTTTGGTAGATAGAGGAAAATGGCTTTAACAAAAAATATTCAAAATTTACTGAAGATTATGAAGCTGTTACTTATAGTACACCTTATCTAGGCAAAATTGTGTAAAAACTCCATTTTCTTATTTTTCGTTGCAGTTGTGCCCCCTAGCGGTCGTTCTACAAACTTGAAAATAATTTCCAGCAATTTCCCATAGCCTCTTTAGTTATAAATATTTTTTTCCGCAGCCGCTACTGCTAATACTTTCCGAGATACAGCCGAGAGCTATTCTTAGTGGGACACCCTGTACATATAAAAATTACGAACTAAAATTTGGTGAAGTGACTGTGGTGGATTAAAGCCTTGTATATAAGAATATATAAACAAGGATTAAAGGTGGATGTGTAGCGCCTCCATCCAGTCAATAAAATTTAATTATTGTACATGATTTCATAAGATTCTTATAAACTTTTATTGCTTGTCTTATATCACAGGTAACATATTATAATATATTAACGTGATGAAATCAGCACAGTAAAATATACTATATATTTATTCTTCTCCAAGGAAACTTGCCAAACAAGCACAATAAAAATAACTTTTTAAACAGAAATGGGGATTTACCCCTTTAGGTACACTGTGTATTTAACCGCTACATGCAAATAAGCTGAATTGTTTCAATACGTGCGTTCGTGTTTCTTTAACAAATAGGTTTATTATCATTTTTTTCATAGTTTTATATACAATCTCTTTAAAATAGGAAAATGTCTTGAAAAACACATGAAACATTATTTATTCGTAAAAACATATGTGGAATTAATAACTCTAGGCAGATGTAATTATCCTATATACAGTGTCCGTCAAGAAGTTCTCTACAAATAGGATTTTTTCGAGATTTTTTCATGGCTGAGTAATAAAGAATATTTATGAAAAATCTATACACTATGTTTATTGGAATGCATAATGTATGCAATATTTAAATAGTACAGTTTAGAGGCGGTCAAAAATTGAACGAGTCGTTGAATTGAACGAGTATTAAAAGTGAATCGTGAGATTCGATTCACCGTTTAGAATACGGTTTGTTCAATTTAATAATTGTGGCCAGCACGGATCCATAATATTCGAACGAACGAGTAGTAAAAAAGAGTAGTAAAGAATTGAATCGGATCACAAATCACAATGCGGCTCGTTCGCATTGGTTCGTTTCTACGATTCGTTCGTTGAAAGAATCGTGAGAATTGATTCATTGCTTATAATACTGTTCGTTTAAAAAATTAATATTAGAGTAATTACCTATATAATATGAGCTTGGGTACCCAAACGTTTGCAATATAGGTAATATGATTGCTATAAATACAGGATGAGTCTTAAGTGCAAATATTTTCAGGGCTGGTAGATCTCGATAAAAGAGACATATCTTCTCTTTACCGTTTTTCAAATAAGTCCAAAATAACCGAGTTATTTTACTTTGAAAATTAAAAAAAATGATTTTTTGCTTAAATTTTTTTTTCTTAATCTACTACCTATGTTGCCATATTATCAAGAAACTCCGTTTTTTAACTAAAAACTAAAAAAATCCAAAAATTTTTTCTTTTCTAAAATAGGTATTGTATTGTATTGACTAAGAGTGGGTCCCAGGTGGGCCAAATCAAAGCCACCCAATGATTTTTCCCTCGTATTTTACCGTTGAAAGAGCCATATGAAATAATACCGCAAATATCTGCGAAACCATTAAAATTTTTGAAGTACTCTAAATACAAAAAATGTTCATTTTTTAATTGTCCATCTATTAAAAAAATAATATACAGGGTGTTCCATTTAAAAAATCGAAAAAAAGTTATTTTATATTTTAGAAATTTTGGCGTAGAATTTTCAACATTCTGTATGATTTAAGATTAAGATATTTATAGCAAAGTAAGTACAGACCATCTGAAGTAAATACCTAATATAGTGTGAAAACTTTCAGGAAATTCTTGTATTTTTAATATTTTTTTTAAGAAAGGCTGAAAAATAAATATTTTTTATTTATTTATTAATATCTCTGAAACTATCAATATATTTACACATATCCTAGGATTATATAAAGTGATCTGAAAGGAAGCCAAAAATTTAATAATATATAAGGTGCTCCATTTAAAAAAATCATCCGGATCTAGTCACACTTTTTTGAACATCCTGTAGAAGTAGTAAATATTTTTCTGAAATACATCTTAGTACATACTTTAGGCACACTTTAAACTGTGCTTTAGGTTTACACTTAAACAAA